TTATTCAACTAAAAAAACTTCACAAATAATTCCGAACACAATTTTTTATTTATTATTTTTAATCTCATAACATAGTCAAAAAAAAAAAAATTATAAAGTCAACTAAGATAGTTAAATTTTCAAATAAGGCCTAACTGAACTCATTACTTATTGATTTAAATTTTTAAAGTTGATTTGAATTCCAAAGAATATACATTAGGACCCTGATATTACGTAAAAGTTTCGATCCTACGGATTATACAGGTATTGCTGCTCTTAACACGTTTTTTATGCAGCTTCATAAGTTCAATAATCTACTTAGGTTGCTTCTATAATGGATTTGCCGAGTACTTAAATTTATCTGAGGGAGTTATTAAGTGTAAAATGAATAATTACTGTTAGGTGATCTGAACTCCAATGCTACAAGTTGTGGCTTTATCAAAACGTGCAATACCTTCTTTACAAAAGACAAAACCGAAAATGTCAACAAGCATTGCCTTAGAAAATGAGTTTTACCACTTTCACAATGGACATGGGTGATAAAAAAATAAATTAAATTACACTTTTCTCTTTAAATTTGAAAAAAAATATAATATACTTCACATATATGGAATAATTGCACTAGGTTTTCTTAAAATTTTGATTCATATAATATTTGATTTTTTTTTATCAAAAATTCGTTACTTGTATAAATAAAAATAATATTATCATTTCTTTTATATTGAAATGTATATTTTACCTTGTATAATTTTGTGTCTTCACACTAGCTGCATTAATTTTGATCTCTTTAATTTTATTAAAAGGGAAATGAGTATAACTATGTCAAAATTGTGAAACTTACTATATTTTTTTTTCCAATCTTCAAGGATGGTTAGTGTAATTTATTTTATCCTGAAACATATCGGAAAATTATATGTCAGAGGCATTTTCCAAATTAATTACAAATTTATAATTTTACCTTTTGATATTTGTAAAGTTCCCCATTAATTTGAAAATATTTTTACTAAATATCCAGTGGTGTTTTAGGAAATTGGTAAAAAATTAGTTTTTTGATTTTTTTAGTATATTTTGTCTTTTTTATGAATAAAAAATATGAGAGATAATGCAACTCAAAATGGGTAAAAAGCTAAAAGTTAGCCTTTTTTTTACTTCCCAAAAGACCCCACACTGAAGTGAAATTGCTCCAAAAAATAATAGTGGTTATACACATTCATCACCGAAGAACTTTTTTTTAAATCCGAACGAAGAACTTGTTTTACTGATGTATTTTAATTTTTTACAATTATAGAGGAAAAGAGAAACAAAAGTTACATTTACAGTGATAGTTGTATGATCATAGTTGGCTATGTGTCAATAAAATTATTGCCATGCATAGATAATCAAAAGTTCAATGCACTTTACTAGTACGCCTTGAAAATATGCTTGCGTACTTTCTTTAAAAAAGCACAAGTACTGGATATATATAATCATGTATGTGTACAAACATTGTTTTAGAGAACGGGTTTTACTATTTTTCTTAAAAGGATAATCAGATCAATAATATTGATTCCATATAAAGTTTATTACGTTTTCTCCATTATTTATCCTTATTGTCAACCTCATTTACTGCTTTAATCTTTTCTCTGTAGCACAAAACTTCAAGAGAATAATAATTTGCACAAAGGGTCAAGTCGATAACCCTTCTCGAAACAATTGACATTTAACAATTTTTGTTGAAATTAATCACTCACTAATCTTTTCCCTATTAGAACTAGGAAGTTGAGGATTGTACCCTTTGATAGGTCTATTTTGTTGATGCAAGAAAAAAAAAACATCTTATTTCACAATGCACAATTGGTGTAAAACCAAGTACCTCACTCTATTTTCATCGGACTGTCATTCCAACACGATTTTTCTCAGTTAGTCCCTAAAGAAAAACATAAATACAAGAAAATTTTATTTCTACACATTTAATTATTTCAATGCACATTTTCTCTCAGTACACACATTTATTAATTTGATTATTAATTAATTTTCTCAATTCGCACATTCAAAGTTACAATTATATCATTCACTCATAATCATTGTACACACACTGCTCAACTCTCCTTTCCACACATTTGTTGAGTGACCTTACTTCCAGATTTGTAAATGTTGGAAATGGTTATAAATTCTGGGTAAAACTAGAATTTTTCCTCAAGTTTGGTCTATTTTTTAGGTGGGCCCCGAGTGTCGATTTACTCGGGTCAAAGTGGTAACGCGTTCTATGCCGCGTTGTGATTCACGTGGTATATTTGGTTGCTCAAAACCATTACCGAGTGAATGGGAAATTGAAGCCAAAGTATGCTCCATGGAAATGGAGTTTTGGTGGAAAATCCTTAAGGTTGTAAATTGGCTTGTCCCACATTGATTTGGTGGGAAGTTTTGAAAGGGTTTATAAGGCTTAGGATGAGATACTTGGGGTGTGCCCCAAGGGGTACCCAAGTGTTTTAGAGGGAGAGGTTATGGGCAAAATGGGCTAAACCCATTGGACCCAAAATCACCACACGCGCGCCGCCGTCCGTCCAGTCGGGCGGGTTGGGCTTCTAATCTTTTTGGGCCAAAAACATTTGAATTTAATTTTATTTTTTGGTAAAATAAAATCCAGAATTCAAATTAACTGATTTGGATTTTCTGTACATCCAAACAGGGCCCTTCCCGTTTTCAAACAGAAATAAACTGTTTTGGAATTAGTGCACACCCAAAACAGGGCCCTTCCCGTTATTGCTATCTGTTTGAATTATTAACAGATTCAAATATGTTTGAATTCAAAACCCAACAAGTATCATACCTGTTCAATTCAAAACCAAAAGCCACATACCTGTTCAATTCAAAACCAAGAGCCACCTTTACATCTATAAATAGGACATCCCTCATTTGGATTTTGTAACTCTAATTTTCGTTCTTCATAATTCTGCAAACATCCTCTTCATTTTGCTGCATTATTTTCTTGTCAGAGAGAGTATAAACACTTAGTGTATTCGTTAGACAAACAATTTGTAGTGCTGCTATTGTTTGTAGTAGATCATTTTATCCTGGGAGATAGACGTCCGAATTCTGAAAGCACCGTGGAGAGGACGAATCTGTCTTAAGGACACAGTGTCAAACACTGGACTTGATCAGATTATAATTCGAAGAAATTAAATCAAGTAAGTTATTTAATTAATTTTTGTGTTACTGTTATTTATTTAAATCAGATTTTAATTTTGTTTTTGTAACAAAATAAAATCTGTTTTTATTTATTTATTTATTATTTCGAGTTTGATTTTTGTAATCAAACCAATTCTCTCCTTTTCTTTATTTCTTTAAATTCTAGTTGTTGTTTTGTACACAATAGAATTAAATATTTTAAATACAGTGAAGATTGTCCAACAGTAAATCCATTGTAAACCCACTTGAAGACCATTCAAGGCCACAATGTGAAATGAAGTGAAGTGAAGTGAAGTAAAGTGAAGACAAAGTTCTCAACTGAAGATCCTATTAAACCTCCATTAAAAACATTATTAAAAACTTTTCAAAATATTGTTGAAGATAAGGCATCTTTCTATTTTGTTATTCCATTTACCATTTTACTATTGAAAAATGATCCGTTGCTCGAAAACAGTGGCTCGAAATTGGCTCGAATATACAAAAACGACGTCATTTTGTTTTTTTTTTTTTTTGCCTTTTTCGTGAATACAAAGGAAAGAGACGATGGGAGAGAGAGAGAGAGAAAGAGAGAGAGAAGAGAGAAGAGAAAAGAGAAAAGAGAAAAGGAACAGAGAAGATGATGAATGGGACAAGCTCTGCGACTTCGTCTCTTCCAGATCCACTGGAAGATAATGAAGATGATGAACATCCAGTCTCAGGCTCAGGCTATGAAGCAAATGATGAATTTTCGAGAACAAAGGGAGAGAGGGATTTTTTTTTTTTTTTTTTTTTTTTTTTGTTGAAGAAGATGATGAATTTTATTTTTTTTTGTTGATGATGATGAAGATGATGAAGATCTGGAGATAATGATCATCTGGATCTAGGTCTGAAGATTTCAGCAAGTTTTTGATCTTGGAGAGCAAGAATCCGACGAAGTCCTGCAGTGAATGGGCCGCCTTAGCTTACCCCCATTTTCTGCAATTGTTTCCTCAGAACCCAGGGGATTTCAAAACTTTGGATTTAGATCCTGAACAAGTAGAGGATCTGATGAAAAATGATTGGGCAGACTTCTTCTATTTGGTGAAAGAGATTGATGTAGCAATGGCGAAGCTGATGATTTCAATGGTTGTTGATGTTGATGAAACCTAGCCCCTTTTGATGAAACCCAGCTCCTTCTTCTCCTTCTTCTTTCTTTTTCATCTTCAAAAAAAAAAACACACCAAAACGACGTCGTTTTGGTGTCGGGCCATTCGAGTCACGCCTTTTTTGAGCTATCAATCGGAGTTGTTTATTATTACATTTATCATTTGCAGATCTCTGTGCACTCCATTGTCATAAAATCCTTGTTTTTTTTTTAATATTTTTTGGGTTAGGGATTTCGGTACTACTTTTCCGAAATTATATATTTAATTTGAAACTTAACTTGCAAATAAAAATTATTAGTTCGGCAAACTTATTCCGAAAAGAAAAACAAAAAAAACTTTTGACAATTGATGTCCAAATATAATAAAATAATTTGATAGTTGATGTCCGAAATAATAAAATAATTCGGTACTTGTTGTCCGACTAAAAACCGCGAAAGGAAAAAAAAAGAAAAAAAAAAAAGAAAAAGAAAAGTTTTGCACGGGAAAATTAATATTTTCAGCACTAATAGAGTATAAATCTAGATATTAAAGCAATATGAGAGTTGTTATGCAAGTATTGCTTAGCAAAAAGTAGAGGAGTATAGAGTCTGTAGCAAACAAAGTGACAACAATAGAAAAATTAAGATTTAGTTTTTTTTTATTTTTAAAAAATGTGTACATAGAATATTTTCATATAATATTATGGGTATTAGTGAATGTCTATTATAATCATTTTAGTTTAAGGTATAATTATCATTAAAATAATATTTCATTAAATATGTGTACTGAGATAATTAAGAGGAAATAGAATTTCCCATAAATACATGTTCACAACATACACACTTAAAGCGTAGAATAGAAACATGCCCGGTAACAGCGAGCCTTGTCCAAATTCGATACTGGACAATTTTATTATTCTATATACAGTTATGTGATAGTGAAACTAACACTTTCAAGCCAAGAACCTTTCCAGTAAACTTCCAAAGACGAAGCTTGTCTTGGTACATCCACTAGCTTCTGCTGCCTCTGCACTTGTTGGGATTTTCTTCACATTGAGCATCATTGTCTGCCCAATTTCTTTGCGAAGAGTTTCAATAGTCTTTGTGTCAACGGGATTTCCAGAAGCATCACTCATGTAGAAGACGTTCATTGCTTGCTCCCCAACTGTTGTGACACCTGCTCTCGTAACTGACAAACCGTTCTCTCGAAAAACTCTTGTCACTTCAGATAGCAAGCCTACTCTGTCCTTTGCACAGAGCTCGAGGCTTAGACCCTGCATAACATTCAAGGTTGAATCCATCAAGTTGTGGCCCATGCTATAAGAAAGGGAACTGTGAATTTTATTTAGTCTTGCACTTCAGAGACTACTAGATAAGTAGAACCAGAACTTAATATCATAAGTAATCTCTTCATTTAATTTTTAAAAAACAAAAAAACAAAAATAAAATAAAATTGTCACTCTTTAGATGAAATGAAAAGAAAGATACGATTCTAATTGATGCAAGTTTAAAATTGGTTATACAATTTTCAGAACTATGCACTTCATGTCACACAATGTTTATATAATTAAATCTAATTATATGCACATCCATTATTTTGTCAAAATGTGATCTCACAGTTTCTCTTTCCTATAATCAGATATTGAATCATTACAATGATATCACTACCAGCTTTGGTTTATATACCCCAAGACTGTGTCTGAATCTTGGATTTGTGAAGGGGTTTATGGAGGTAAAAGAAAAGGAAAGGGAAAGTGAATGAAATATAAGGCCTTCTTTTCTTCTTTTTTTTTGGCGAGTCACTTACCTTTTTTTTTTCCTCCACGAATCCCTCCACAAATCCAAGATCCAAATGCAGTGTAACAGCTGAATGGATGTGCACGTCAATCTATATGGCAATGATCAGCAACCTCCTGATTAACAGCTGAATGGATGTGCACGTCAATCTATATGGCAATGATCAGCAACCTCCTGATTACATACTGTTCAACTTTTAAGCTTGCTTCTCTGTGTGTGTGTGTGTGTGTGTTTTCTTTCTTTTCTTTCTTTTTTTTTTTCCTTTTTGGGTTTGCCAACTGATTAAACAGGTTGATGTAGAGTTCCATGTGGTTCCTAGATTAGTATTCGATTTAATGGGGATAGTTAAACTTCTTTAACCATTTTAAATGTAATGAGAAAGGAAGCACATGAGGCACCATCGTGTCACTCCTAACCAAAGTTAAATCATGGTTCACATCCCTTTTCAGGAAATGGTTGTCCTAGGAATGACTATAAGGAAAAAGATAGATTCAAGAGTGTATTCCCAGGAAATGTAAAATGTTATGGAAAGTGATTGTTGAACTAAAAGGGTAACATGCATATAGGCTTGCAAACAAAAACAGTTCAATAAAAAGAATTTCTGCTTAGAAGTGAGACACATTAACCATGGATGGCGAAAGCTATATGATAAACGCTGAGTACTTTTGCAATCCAATTTATTTTTATGAGAAATAAGTCACACCAAAGCAATATTTACTCCCTCACCTCACTAACCCTTCGTCTAATAGCAGCTTCAAGACACTTTACAACCCTTTCCTTCTCTCCTTCAGTATCCAGCGTGCAGCCATCCATGTGACGAATATAATATTCCTACAAATCCAATAAACTTACCTTAGTTACTACAATAACCTTGAGGCCATGCAAAGACATTCTAGAGATATAAAGTCAGTTTATGATGTTTTCATATGATCCAACGACACATTGATCTTAAAGTTAACAGAGTGAACACTAGAAAAGTCATTGCAAAAATCTAAATCAACACCTGAATTGATAAAATAAAATAATATTAAAAAAAGAAAAAAGAAAGAGTGTTAATGATGGAAATAAACATCACTGATGAGATATGAGAATGTAATCCCAATGATTTATTTTGAGAATATAAATGGAAGAACAAACATTCTAATTTTATTTCTTTGAATTATGGATACATCTAGTGTCTCTTTCTCTCATCTCATAATCTAATACAACAACTAATGCAATCTATTTATAGACCTAAGCCCAGGTATGAACACCTGATGGCTATGAGTTGTGTACAGCTCAATTCCCACATTTTTCTCATTTCCTTTATGGTGAAGGTTTTGACCAGTAATGGAGGTGAGCTTCCATGAAGCTTCCTCATTTTCTTCTTTATGCTTCTGGGTTCTTCTTCTTCCTTCTTCAATCTTCTTCATCATTCTGCAAGCTGCTTTTTTCTTCTACACATTTAACATGTGATGCTTCATTGCTAAGTATGAAGCTTCTAGTTCTTGATGGAATTAGGTTTGGATTTTTCAACATCCCCCTCAAACCCAATTCGGTGGGTTTCTTCATTCTTTCAATAGCTACAAACATTATAGCTTTCTCTTTTGCTGTGAGGATCTTTACTCTTGTCCTCAAGTGTTTGTATGCCATATATTTGATTCTTCTCTTGTACTGATGGTAGGCCTTCAATGTTGCGTTCTTTAGTAGTTTTCCAATAAGCATTACACTGGACTCTCTTTAGGCATATTGTGAAGGTTTTGTCATGATGACTTTTCCACTTTGCTTCTTGTCGAGTTTCTTTTCTTCAAATCCTATTGGATCATTGCCTGTGAACAGGCAAAATAAATCAAAATCTTCATCGATGCGTCTGGTTACGTCATAGATGTCTCTTATCTGGACATTCCTTAGTGATGATTCTTCACTTGAAATGATGCTTGTCCCCTCTTGCGGTGAGTGTGGGGTCATTGTGGTCTCCATGTTTGGTGACTCTTCTTCTTGGTTGTCATCTAAAAGATGCTCTTCCTTAGAGCATTTGATTGACAATCCCAGTTTGATTCTTCGTCAAACTCAGCTTCTGTTTGAATTTCTTTATGAAGTTTCATTCCTTCCATTCTTGCTTCATTAACCCCTAGGGTTTACATTTGTCCATCATCAAGTTTGATTGGACTTGTTATATCTTTTCTTTCTTCTGTATTTTCTGCTTCTTTTGCAATCGATGTGATTTTGTCAACACTTTCTTTATCTTGCTTTTCTTCTACCAATTCTTTTATCATATTGGCCTCTAGATCTTTTTCTTCAATATCTTTTGTACTTTCATTCTCTTGTGCAACTTCAGTGGATTACACACCTTCATATTCTTCCCACCTGAATTCATCTTCTTGAATGCATTCAACTTAATATTCTGTTGGTAGGACTTTTCCTGCATGTTTGTGTAAGTTTTCTGTATATTCAACTTGTATCAATTTACAAAAAGTTCATCAGTTTATATAACCCTAAATCTATGACTGAAAAAGGAACTACTAACTAATTCCTATTTACACAATCATGCCATATATACACAACATGCCATATATACAATTTATTCTCACATACCAGCTCAAACTCGAGGTGTTTTAGCAGAAAACACTGAGAGTTTGCTAAAAACAAAACTAAAATCGAGCGGTAGTGTGAGTCTTGGTGAAGAAGTCCGCAAGTTGCAAAGCCGAGGAGACGAAAGGAAGCGAGATAGAGCCAGACTGTAGATGTTGTCGAACAAAGTGACAATCAATCTCAATGTATTTCGTCCGTTCATGGAAGACAGTATTATGGACAATCTGAATAGCACTGCGGTTGTCACAATAGAGAGAGGTCGGAGAAGACTAAGGTACACCCAAATCTAAGAGAAGCCAACGAAGCCAAACAAGCTCAGCAATAGCATGAGCTATACCACGGTACTCAGTTTCGGCAGTAGAGCGAGCAACAATAGTTTATTTCTTGCTTTTCCAAGAGATCAAGGAATTGCCAAGAAACATACAGAAACAAGAGGTGGACTTGCAATCATAAACATCACTAGCCCAATCGGAATCAGCATAGGTCACCAAGTCTAAAGAGGAAGTAAAGGACAACAGTAAGCCCTGAAAGATGACACCCCGGAGATAGCGAAGAATGCGAACCAAAGTAACTCAATGGGTAGAGCGAGGAGCAGAAACGAACTGACTAATCACATGAACAACATAAGCAAAATCAAGACGAGTGACAGTCAAATAAACTAAACAATCCACAAGCTCGCGATAGAAAGTGGGATCATCCAGAGGGACACTATCAGTAGAGTTGAGCTTCACATTAAGCTCAATAGGGGTATCAAAAACCTTAGTATCAGTAAGACCAGCACGGTGAATAACCTCATTAGCATACTTGGTCTGAGACAGAAAATAGCCCTTTGGAGAAGAGGCAACCTCAATACCAAGAAAATACCGCAATGGACCCAAATCCTTCATTTTGAAGGTGCAGAAGAGATGTTACTTGACCTTAGAGATAGCAAAAGAGTCAGAGCCAGTGATGATCCACATAGAGTAAGAGAGCAATAAAACTAGCTGAGGTATGTCTCAGAAACAAAGCAGAGTCGGAAGTAGAAGGATGAAACCCAAGCTCGGTAATAGCAATCTAAAAGCGATCATACCAAGCACGAGGAGATTGCTTCAAACCATACAAAGTACGCTGAAGATGGCACACTTGCCTAGAGAAGTAGAGAAGGCCAGGCGGAGGACATATGTAGACCTCCTCAGTGAGATGACCATTAAGAAAAGTATTCTTAACGTCTATCTGATAGAGAGGCCAATGCTGAACAGCAGTAACAGAAATCAAGGTACGGACAGTAGTCATCTTGGCAACAGGGGCAAATGTCTCCTCATAATCAATACCATACTCCTGCGAGAAATCCTTAGCAACCAAACGAGCTTTGTATCGCTCGAGAGAACCATCAGAATGAGTCTTGACTTTATAGACTCATTTGCAACCAACCAGATTCTTACTAGCAAGCAAAGGAACTAACTCCCAAGTGTTAGTCTTCTGCAAGGCAAACAACTCATCCTTCATACCTTGAACCCAATTAAGATCCTAACACGCCTCCGTGTAAGATTGAGGTTCTGAAAAAGAATGAAAAACAGACAAAAAAGTACAATAGGAAGTAGAAAAACATGTATTAGACCAACCCAACCTGTTTGGAGGATGACGCTCACGAGTATAATATCGGTGTACAGTAGCATCAGAGTCGTCAGAAACAAGACGATCAACAGCAGGGGTAGAGACAACTAGTGGAGGAGGAGCCTTGCGACGAGAATAAACTAACAACGGAGGAGGAGAAGAAGCTGAAGGAGGAGAAGTAACCAGACGTGAAGCAGGAGGAGAAGATGGCTCAGGAGGAACAGTGGAGATGTACTCATCAGACGGGACCTTAGAAGGAAATGGATCAATATGAACCAAATCTTCTTTGGAAATTGGGGCGATGAGATGAAGAAGCTGAAAGTAAGGTAGACGTTCGAGAAAGGTAACAAGGCGGGAGGCATAAAGGTGACGGAAAACAGGGTCATAACAGCGATAACCTTTCTGAGTGAGACTATAACCCAAAAAGACACATAGGATAGACCAGACACTAAGTTTGGTCCTATCTTTACAGGGTAAAAGGATAAAACAAACAGACTCAAATACATGAAGGAGGGAGTAATTAGGAAGTTGGGAAAACAGAGTCTCATAAAGGGACCGACCAGAAAGAAGGGAGGTAGGTATATGGTTGAGAGGAAAAGCAACAATAAGAACTGTCTCACCCAAAAATGGAGCCGGAACGGACGCAGAGAGAAGGAGAAACCTAGCTGTCTCAAGAAGATGACGGTGTTTAAGCTCAGCTCGACCATTTTGGGTAGGTGTATCAATACAAGAAGTTTGGTAAATGGTACCCAATTTGGCCAAGTATTTTAAAGTATTCCCCACCCAAGTCAGACCGTAATAATTTAATAGTAGACCCAAATTGTGTAGTGACCATAGACTGGAAAGTACGGTATATCTGATAGAAGTTAGACTTATGAGTTATAAGATAAACCGAAGTGTAACGGGTGCAATCATCAACAAAAGACCCATAGTATGCAGAACCCCCTTTGGTGAAAACAAGATAAGGGCCCCAAATATCAGTATGAACTAAAGAAAATAGTATATCAGATATAGTACTTTTATGAAAAGGTAAGGCTGTCATTTTGACAAGTTTACACCCCCGACATTCAGTAAGTTCATTAGGAGAAATTTTACCCAATATACCCGACTGAGTTAAAGACTGTAAGCGATCAGCAGACAAATGCTCTAATCTAGCATGCCACAAGTAGAAAGGACTAGACAGAGAATCTAACTGAAAAGAGGAAAAGGCAGTCTTGTGAGGTTGCCATAGGCAGATGCAAATTCTCTATTACATAGAGGTCTCCAACTTTATGGCCGGTCCCAATCTGCTGCTTAGACATTCGATCCTGCACAAAACAAATAGAAGAAGAAAAGATAACATCAAAACTAGAGGTATCAAGCTGACTGATAGATAATAAACTGATAGATAACTGAGGAACATATAAGACAGATGAAATAGAGACAACAGACATAGCAGACGGTAGGACAGACCCAACAGATATAACAAACATACCAGACCCATTAGCAGCATTGACAGTAATAAGAAGAGGAAAAGGAGTACAATTTTGAAGTAAGGAGAGATGGGGAGTTATATAATGGGAGGCACCAAAGTCAAAAATCCAAACAGACGAAGAGATACCTGAAGAAGACCCAAGCAAACCTAAATGAAGAGAGGAAACAATAAAGGCAGACGGGGATGGCTGAGAGGTAGACAATATATGCTGAAACTGACTAATCAGTGTATGCTGAAGCTAACTAATCTGGACAGTCAAGAAAGCTAAGTGAGGATCAAGAGCTAAAGTAGATGCAATAGAACCGGCAAAAGGCCAAACGACACTGAGAGGAGGAGCGCAGAACATAATCGGAAATTGTTGAGAAGACGAGGCAGACATAGTCGAAGTAGACAAATATCCCTTCTTGGGACAATGATACTTCCAATGGCCTTTCTAATGGCAGAAAGCACACTCATCAGAAGCAAGAGACATCATAGTAAACAAAAAACTGAGGGATTCAAGTGGGATAAAACCGAAATAGCCAAAAAGGGATCTAAGTGTAAAACAGAGAATAATGGGTCAAACAGTAATAAGGAGAGACCTGAGCTCCTGTTTGACTTCAGCCCCTTCAAAATAACCAAGAGCAATATTACAACCCAAGCAGAACCGGAGAGAGAGAGAGAACAAGAGAGCCGAAGACAGAAGATGAGCCACGGTGAGGAGTCAACTAGCAATCGCAAAGCACTGAGACGAAGAATCCAAATGGATCAACTACCAATCACAAGTCGACTACCAGCCATAAACAGATGGGTCACGAATCAGATGGGTCACGAACAATAGTGCAATAGAGATGGTGAACCACGTAAGCCGATGAACTTTATCAAAACTTCAGACGAGTTTAGTGAAATCGTACCTACGAATTTCGATGGTGAACCATGTAAGCCGATGAACCTGATCAAAACTTCGAACCAGACAGAACAAGAAAGATATCACAAATCGAGAGAGAGCGAGAACTCTATCGATTCGTGACTCAGAAACCAACTAAGGTTGTGAACACAACTCTGATACCATGTACGTTTTCTGTATATTAAACTTGTATCAATTTACAAAGAGTTCATCAGTTTATATAGCCCTAAATTTATGAATGAAAAAGGAAATACTAATAATTCTTATTTACACAATCATGCCATATATACACAACATGTCATATATACAATATATTCTCACAGTTTGGTGACAATGTCGTCAATTGATTTCCAAACTTCTTGCGGGCATTTGGAATCTTCAATTTGTTTCCAAATCTGTGACTGTATTGACCTTGTCAATAGTTGAAGTAATCTTGCCTTTTTCTTGTCTTGAATTCTTTTAGGCAATTTTTTATACAAAAAATCTTCTAAGAGCACGTCATGGAGATCACATATTCCAAAATAGACGTAAAGCTCAACCTTCCTTCTCCTGTAATTGGAGAACATTAATTTTTCTCTTGTTTCATTGTTGGTCTTCAAAATAAAATCTGCAATTTTTCTAAATTAAATTTGCAAATTTTGACCTCATGGATGTGTCCGGAATGATTCAAATAGTTCGAAATGACTATTGGATTGTTGTAATAGGACTCCGGATGGCTTAGTCTTAGCTAAATACAATCTGATGGTTTAGATTTGTTGAGATTTGTACTTTGCGAAGCACTGGATAATTTCTCCTGTCTGCGTGCGCCAGGATGACGTCGTTATGATGTCAGCGTCTTGGCGGCTCAACAAACGGCTCGGCAACTCCGCTCGGATGTTGGCTCGGCTTGGCTCGACTTGGCAGCTCGTGATGATGTCAACAATTAGCGTCAGTAGTCTTCTCCGGCAGAGCTGACTTTTCTGGACAAATTTTGACTGGCCCGTGTGGCTTCGTTTTAGCTCTGATTTGCTTGATATTTGCGTCGTTGGAATCCTCTCGATGAGTACTTCAATTTGGTATACTCAAAAAAAAAAAAAGATTTTGAGAACTTTGATTTCTCAGCAAAATTCGAATTTTGCTCTGTTCTTCCTCTGTTTTGTAGATTTTCTGCAATTTCAGGCTACCTTGGCTCTGATACCACTGATGGAAAAATTAAATTCCAATTGATGAGATATGGGAATGTAATCCCAATGATTTATTTGAGAATATAAATGGAAGAACAAACACTCTAATTTTATTTCTTTGAATTATGGATACATGTAGTATCTCTTTCTCTCATCTCATAATCTAATACAACACCTAATGCAATCTATTTAGAGACCTAAGCCCAGGTATGAACACCTAATGGCTATGAGCTGTGTACAGCTCAATTCCTACATTTTTCTCATTTCCTTCATGGTGAAGGTTTTGACCATTAGTGGAGGTGAGCTTCCATGAAGCTTCCTCATCTTCTTCTTCATGCTTCTGGGTTTTTCTTCTTTATTCTTCAATCTTCTTCATCATTCTACAAGCTGCTTCTTTCTTCTACACATTTAACATGTGATGCTTCATTGCTAAGTACAAAGCTTTTGGTTCTTGATGGAATTGGGTTTGGATTTTTCAACATGTAAATGATGACATTCACTGAAATTAATCTTGTACAAAAAGAAACATATAGTAACAGGTTCGGAAAATAAAATGTGCTCTATTTTGTAATCCTGACCAATGATTCTACTTTCATGGTGAATCCAAATGCTTCCTGAGCAAACAAGTTGATTGCTCAAACAATCTCAACCCAGCAATAGTTGGTTTCAGAAGTTTAGACCTAGGATGTATATAAAACCACTTCACTGGTTAGAGGTATTGGACTAAAGAGCAGTGTTCCATAATCATTTTGAGTTCATCTAGTGAAGAGAAATGTTTAGCAATTCTTACTTAACTTCTGTCTCATTAATTTTCCTTTTTTTATTTTGTTTATTTTTATAGTTACATTTTCAATTGAAGGGGTGACCATTGGTTCAATGGTGAAATCTTGGCCTAATAACCTTGAGATTATGGGTTCAAGTCTTGTACTTTATGCACTATGCCAAAGGTTAAGTGTATACCCAATCTTTTCTCCCAAACACACATTAATGTGTACTATTTGGGTGTTATTTTTTATTTTTTTTATTTTCAATTGAATAAATTGGATTATCAGCACGAGAACCAAGTGGAGAATACTTGGATTCACAAATATGCAAAATTTCCCCCTAATGGCAAGGCATGAAATTTGGCAAATAATTGACATCATAAAGCTTAATTCTTTTTAGATATAGAATTTGAAGAATATAAGGAAAGGCATGGTGAATACTCTGAATCATGATAATGCAATTTTTCCCCTACTTGTGTTGCATGCAGTTAAGTTAGGAAGACAATTGAAATAATAAATCTTAATATCTAAAAGTTATGTTATTTGCAGGTTATGTTCAAGGAAAATTAAATTGCTTCCTGAAATTTACTTCTATGCAGACTTTGTCTTGCATGGAAGACTATTCATCAGAAATAGTTGCAGAAATACCTGCGACGCGTACGGGCCATCAGATGAAATGTTGGCATGAAAAACAACATACTGCATGTCTGTGAGGGTGCACACGATGTCAAACATAAGCTTTGCACGATCTTTGCACTTGACACTTACCACTGAGTACCCCTTCTCCTCACAACGGTCAACTGTGATTTTTGGTTCCAATGGAGGATAATCTGTCTCAGTCGCCAATGTGACACCTTCATAATCCCTATCAGCTAACATCATCTGGTGAAGTCTCCGATCAACATGGGTGATGCCCATGGAGAAACTAGTACAACCTACTTTCTCATCATCCTCACACCCTCGCAAGATGTTCTTGAGCTGCTCCTCCATAGTGGATAATCGGCTTGGGTCATCCACAGCATGGCATGTGGTATTATCATTAACATAAAGAACACATGCTGTTCGCCTGTTATGTGTCCAAACTTCAGCAGCAACTACATTAAAGTGGAGGTTGGCAAGGACAGCAGAGATTTCTGACAAAAGACCAGGGCGGTCCCTGCCTACTAGCTCAATGGCTGTGTGTTCACCCAGAGAATGCATTCCCACCCTCTTTTCTGGCCAGCTCTTCGAGCCATCTTTGGTGTAGCCCTTGGGTCCTAGAGCCTATAATGTAAACAAATTAAAGAAAATGAAGCATTAAAGAAATTATCCATAAGCCTTGAGTCATAAAAGTAAACTGTTTATTCTAGTTCACTCAGCTCCTTGAATGAAATCTCTAAAAATGAATGAATAGGATCGGAGTGAATTGTAACTAGGAAACTGGAGATGACTCTTGGTGGCATCCACATGGACCACAAACTGTAGATGCATTAAGAATAAAAGGTCCTAAATTGATATATTATATCACCAATCTGATGATCCAATCACCTATACTGCATACTGATAGTCACAATGAGTTGGCAGGCATTGAAGTGCATTACAATTGCGTTGGTGCAAAATATAGTAAGGTAGACTGCATTGTTAAGACAATAAATCATATATCAGACCCATTTGGTTTAACCTATGTAATGAATTTTTTACTACAATACTTGGTATCTGATGTGTTAAGACCGGGAGTAAGAAACCACTATACAAAAGATGAATTACTTCTAATTTAGCATGGCCTTCCATTTCATTCTGTTGTCGCTGCATTGATATTTTGTGGGTTATGAATCATGGATTGGATATCCTGTTTAGGTTTTAAAACAAGGCACAGATGGTTATAAAGGGAATTGAAGATCATACCTTTTCTATAAAATCAATGGTCTTACTGTCTGTAATCTTGTTCCCTTGTTGATCAGTGACATGAAATACTGTTAAGAGAACTGAAACTGGTCAACTATCTGCATGTGTGTGTGCTTCTGTGAGAGAGAGGGAACGTGGAGGCCATAAAGAGGGCACATTTCCATAAGCTCCCTGTTAGTTTTTTTAACTCATTGGTGCATGTGTATGATCATGGGGATGCATATAGGTTCCACGACCAAAATTACCATCAAAATAATGATGCCAAATTCACTTGTATATGGACATGCAGCTTAAAATTCATTCTTCGGGTTCAATGAACATCTTCACATGAACCTTGATTAGGACATGAGTGATCAAAGTGAAAACCAAGTAGTGGAGACCATATGCAGAATGTAGTTAATTCGGCTAATTTAACAAAAACAGGGTAGATTTGCCCACAGACACACAAAAGAAAAGATGCTAAAAATGTGCAGATTAAAGAGAGCTTATTGCAAACATGATGAGTATGCCCTTTTTATAAGCCTTAACATTAAGGAAATAGCAAGTAAAAGAGTAAACCCACCATCCATGAACCATCCACCATCAGAAGAGATGTAAGCCTTGGTGATGGTGAGGTCAAGGTCTGTTAGGATTTGTACCACTTCCAGCAGTATTCCTGGTCTGTTCATGCTGTCAACCTGACATACATCCCACAACCTTCATCTAATCATTCCAACAGAAAACTAAATAATAAAGTGAAGTGTTAAGAGTCTGAATCTGAACTAGAAAATAAGAGCATTATTGTCAATGCACCACATAATAAAGATGCAATTCGGTTAGCTGGTTGGGTCTTTTGGTGGTGTTCCAAAGGTTTGGGTCTACTACTCTCTGTGGGCTTGAAAATTGTCATTAAGTCCACATCTTTCAAGCCTCCAACCAAGGTTCTGAAAAGCGGTTGCGGTCGCCGTAACAGTGGCGGTGATGTGGTTGCAGTTGCGGGGTGTAAAGGCCGTACTGTAACGGTTGCGGTAATCGGAACCGTGAATTTTTTTATTTTTCACACAATTTGAAAAAAACTTACCAATACGCATATTTTTTTTCCATGATCATATTTATTGGGTTAAAAATAAATATTGATCAATTTTTGCAAATTTTTAAGTATGATCCAATATATTTCATATTTCTAAATCACTATAAACTGAGTTTTTTACATTTTATTTTAATAATTAATGACTTTATATTATACAAAAAATCAATCACTAACTATTATATATAAGATAAACAATGACAAAAGTAAGAGAATAAATAAAAGCCTAAATATACATATATATATATATATATATTTTAACCAAGCCAAACAGATAATGACCACACTTATTATTATTATTATTATTATTATTATTATTATTATTATTATTATTTTCAAACAATATATAGATAGACACACACAAATAAAATGATTTAGTGATAGCAGCTGAATAGAATAGCATAGGTCTTACAGTTTCAACAAATCAATAATATGTTCTTCATCTTCCCTCTTCTCTCTCTCTATCTGTTGCTCCTCCATTTTCTCTCTTTTATCTTCCATGTTCTCTCTATCCCTCTTCCCCCATTTTCAGCTTTTTTTTTGTGTTTTTTTGAAAGAAACAATTTGGAACCGTTACGTAACGGTGCGTAATAGGCCGTTATAGCTGTTACGGCACCGTTACGACCGCTACGGCAGCCGGTACAACCGACACACATGTGAATCTCAATCATACTGCAAAAGCGGCCGTAACGGGTGGCAGTAACCACCAAAATCGTTACGTAACGGTTGCAGCCGCTTTTTAAAACCTTGCCTCCAACACATGACCTCCACTTACCACCTCACAAAAAAAAATAATAATAAATAAAAAATAAAAAAAAAGGGCTAGAAGCAGTGCCAATAAAGTGACTAAGGCCGCTGAAGGACAAAGGTTTGGCCAAAATTGCAATCAGTTTAGCTCATAAGTTCATCATGTTCCATATTATTCAATGGGACACAATAAAGAGAATGTTGCTATGAGACAGCTAAGTTCATTATAGAAATATTGTGGCAGAGACCTGATTTCTTTATAGAATTATGCATACAAATAATGTGTCACATTTGTTGCCTATCACTTCAAAACAAAGGATCATGAATATGCAATCAAACTGAAAATATAACTGACATGTCATTTTGGAAAAGATATCTGTAGGAACAATGTGCTCATAAACCATTTTTCTTTTAAAAGAAACTAATTTCAGGCAGCCATGGCCTAATAGGCTAATAAGCAGGATGCAAGAAATCAACCTACATTGAAAAAGTGGTTCCTGGTCTTGGGCCCACCTTTGGTAATTCCAGTCAATTATTTTTATTATAAATAAATAAAACAAGGGAAGAAGAAGGAAAAAAAAACATTTCAGCATAGAAGATCAAAAATATTTTCAAATAGGCAGGGTGCAAGTTTTTAGTTTGCACATTCCCACTTATTTGTAAATTACTGCACCGTTTTAACTTTTGTCACCAGTAATTTTGAGAATAAGGCCTGTAGCCTGGCAGGACCGAAGCGTACTGACATTTTCAGACAGTTCTTTATACTGAAACAGAACATTTACTAGGGAATCCAGAATGATCCTTTATCTACATAGCTCAGTTACCAAATTACCACTCAGCTTCATCATCATTGTGGCATTTTTTTCCTCAAAATGGGTCAAGTAATTACCTTGATTAGAGTACAGTCCTTGCAAGTAGTGTTGTCTATAGAGACCCTGCAAAGTGTAAACAAGGTTAAGAGAGAACAAAAGTGACTGCTGACTGGCATTAGAACAACAAAATGACGACATCTAAAACGCTTAAGAATCTACCAAACCAAACCAAACCAAGCCTTAAGTCTCATCAAATAGGGTTAGCTACATGAATCCTCTTCCTCCACGCGGCTCTATCAAAGGCTATTTCGTTAGTCAAATTAAGTAGATTCATATCTCTATTTACAACGCTAGCCAACTTTAATCTAGGCCTACCCGGTCCCCTAACACTTCCCTCTACCATCACTGCATCGCATCTCTTTACTATTGCCTCTATAGGTCTCCGTTGAATATGCCTAAGAATCCACCATTTTGACTAAATTGAAGGGCTCCATCAGTGTGTATTAGAATACTGAGGATGCATAAAAATAGCAATGACATGACAGAAACAATACAACTCTGACTAGCTTATACTATTTATGTCCCATGATATTGGCGTTAAGTCACCACTATTCACCCACCCTCATGTGCAGTCACGTCTTGCATGTGAAAATGCAAACCTCCAAACATAGAGAAGAAATAATGTAAATAGAGAACAAAAACAAATGGAGAGACTCCAACTCAAGACCTTTTCTAACCTGAGCTCTTATACAATGTTAAATCACCAATTATCCCAAAAGCTTAAATTGATAGGAAATGGATCCAACAATGTGAATCAAGTTATCCAACAATTGAATCTTCAGGTTTTACAAAACCACTTGCCCCAAATGCTTCAAAGATAGAAACCAAACAATCTTTTCAATGTTTGACCTTGTTGCACATGGAGTGACAGATAAACTTAACAAATGTTATAGAAACAAAAAATAGGATAGGGGAACAAACGCAAACAAAGAGACTTAGACAAAATAAAAATAAAAAAACTCCCTAAATAGCTTAAGCTGGAGGGAGGGTCCTTGAGCTTGAGATGCATTGTTTGGTTTATTTTCAAACAGCATATGCTTTTGTGACAAGTACTTGTCTCACCATAGGTACTGCAATAATGGGTTCATGAGGGTTATTAAAGTGGTAACTCGCCAAGCCAATCAAAGAAATCTTGAAAAGAGGTATAGAAAAAGAACCTTGGAGGGTTAATTTTGATGCTTAAGTTCTCATATTCAGGATCAAAGTAAGGCCAAGAATTTCCAGCCATTGAACCACCAGTTCTCCAATCACTGAAGCTGCTTCTCTCTACCTCTCTGCATTACAACCAAATTAATAATTACTACACAGCAGTCAATATGCTTTTTTTTTTATTAACAGAGAAATGCATACGAATTTTGACCAATATTCATCCAAATGAAGAATTCTTGGAAACATTAAACATATTCCACATTTTATATTCTCTTAGGTTGTGTAAGGTTGGAGGGATTTGGAAAGGAAAAGAGAAAATGTGTGTGAAATTAGGTGAAATTTAGATATATTTTATTCACATTTCACTTATCTTTTTCTTTTTCCTTTTCCTTTTCAAATCTCTTCCCAAATCTCCATGTGGGTTCGTTTGGAATGTGGGTTGGCTTTTTTGCTATTTTAGTCTAAGGCTAAAAAGCCTCGTTTGGGATAGATTTTTTGACTTTTGTGAGAGAAAAAAATGAAATGATTATGGTTTGGATGTGACATTTTGTCTTATTGACTTTTTAGCTTATTTTGTCTTTTTGTGACTAGCCGAACGAGTGCACAGCCTTAATTGACCCTTCTGATGACTACCTATAATTTATTCAGCATCAAAGGTAGGAAAAATGTCATTAGAAATTGGAGCAAATATAGATGTTTTTTTCCCCCAATAAATTCATGTTGCATCATTCTCTTCAAAAATATGGCAAGCATTATGCTCTGAAATTAAAGAATGCACTCACGAACCAATTTCCTCTTGGTCTTGCTAAAGGCTTTCCATATAAGTAGTATCACTTACAATCTTGAAATTGTATGATAACGCATGTCTGATCAAATGCTAGTCTTTAAAGAACAACAGCTGTTCATGGAGTTTCAACAACAATATTGTTATTGGAAATAAATTAAAATATTCAAACAGTACTGACGCCAAACTATTCAAGCAACCATAATTATGGTTGATTTAGCCATATGATATGCCATGTAGAAGAGATAAGGACCAATAAAAAAATTCACATGTAAATCCTCCCCTTCCACCGGTGACTTTCAAAGTCTACAATCCAAGTTGAGGATTCTTTAGATCCCAAAACAAAGAACAGATTGTAATTTTCTTTTATCTATTATGAAAATTGAGTAGAACTGTTGTTAGATTTAGTTCAAACTGCAGCCCTTTCCAACAACATAAGGTAGCAATTAATGTTTGAGAGATAAAAACAATACCGTGGTCAAGAAAGATGAGAATGGACTCCACTGAAATTATTTTCCAAGCATAAATGTCACCCCAATCCCATTTTTGTTACTTATGGACAAATGTCCTCACATAGTGGCTAGCATATGTAACCTGCAAAAAAAATGACAATAACATAAAATGATCTGTCATTAAATTTTTCACGACCCCTCACCCCCACCCCAAAACAAAACAAAACAAAGCATTCAATTTGTTTTGTAGTCACATAATTGAAAGACTAGGGGAAGGAGATTCCCATTACTAATAGATTAAAATTATATACTTGTCCCAAGGTACCATGTCCAACTATTAAAAACAAAAACTGCTCTAAATGAGCCAGCCCTACTCTAGCAACAAACGACAGGTTTGTGATTTAATTTTATTTTACTTTACTTATTCACTAACATTTTTATTTGCAGCAATTTTCTAAATAGACGCCTATATGATATGGACAATAGTCAATAAACAGCATTCTCTATCAAACATGACATCATATGTAGTCATGTACACGGTCATAATTTTTATGGCTATGAAGTACACAAAAAGCTACTAATATATACTACAGAAATATTTTTAGCTCAAAAATTAGGCCTCGTTTGAGAACCCTCATTTTTAGCTAAAAAGTCAAAAAGTTACTAAATTAGCCAAAAAGCCAACAACCCATACCAAAAAGTCAGATTCTCTTTTCTCTCTACTTTTTGCACATCTTTTCGTAAAAAGCCAAAAAGTCATCCCAAACATACTAATTTTTTTTAACTCATATTTTACCCAAATAGCCAAAAAGTTACTAAATTAGCATGTTCCCAAACGAGGCCTTAGTATTGAGTTGTCTACTAACCCCATTAATTGCCAAAGTCTAGCAATTTTCAATGACTATTTTGCTTACTGTAATTGATGTAGCATATTCACTTGTGATCACTTCAATTTGAAAATTTGGTTAAAAATGTCCTAATCTAAGTTAGAGAGATATAATTTACCATCAAACACTAAACACAAAAATAAAAACTAATTATAATTTAATTTGAACTATAAATATGTTTTTACAATTTCAATTTTTAAAGTTGCTTACTTAAATATTTTAGCTCTAATAATTCAATATAAATTTTTAATTGTATCAAATAAATCCTTTAATCAGGTATTGATACTGCAGAAATTACCGGCATATTACAACCGCCGCAAGAAATTATTTTCCAAGTAAATTTCATGTAGAAATTGTATAGATAACCGGGAGATATTTCTGCTCAGGGTGAGGGATAAGTTAACTGAAAGCAGCAGCAGAATACTCATGCCATTTTTGCAACACCTGAGTTGTTGAAATGGTTGCATTGTTCTAATTCTTCCCTCAAAATCTGAAAATTCCGACTCGCTTGGTCCCATTTTATGTCAATGCACAAAGTTTAGACAGTGAATGAATAAATGATAAAGAAAAATAACATTCTCTAATTTAAATAAGTTTTTGGAGAATTGTGATTGTGTTTAAACATAAAGAGTAACATAGAAAAGTGAAGATTAAAAATTTTCAAAAATTCCATTGGCTTATCAACCACACAAAAATATTGGGAGACATACACATTACTCAGTGTCCCATAACATAAGGACAAGTGTTTGGGTGTGCAACCTTACACCATACGCACAATTTACAAAATCACGTAAGTTTTCACGAATTTATATAGTTGACCTCACCAAAATACGCAAGTTGGACAACAATCTGCGCAAGCTATTCATAAAAGTTTGGCAATTCACAAAATCACATAAGTTTTCATGAATACATAAGTCATCTCACAAAAATATATAACTCAAACTACAAAATTACATAATAAAAGTGCATGCATATGATGTACAATGCACACTTAAAAGTTTTCCTAAAACAAGATTTTCAAATAAGGAAATCAAGAAATATTTACAAAATTAAAGGCTCCAAGTCTTCTAGACTCTGCAATGAGAATTCTTCTCTTATCAAGGGAAACTTTATGAGAAGCGATACAAGGAGTTAGAACCAAGATATGCTTTGTGCCTAAGGTTACCAAAGGTGAAAACGGCAATAATAATGTTAATTGAAATGGGTAATGTGTACACAAAAAGATTTTTAAGGAGTTCCAAATTGAGTACTTTTGTTCCATTGAATCGGACATAGAAGCAATTGAATATGGCGAGGTTTGTACCATATACTCAATTGTTGATGTTGTTGGGAAACATGCAAGGAAGTGAAGATGGAGAGGGATGGCTCTTTGGGTTGTAATTGTACAAGGTTTGAAATGGAATGAATTATATGTTGTCACTCTTTGAAGGTTATTAGAGACATATTGAAGATGAAAGAGGTTCCTTCACAATACATTCTAAAGAGGTGAACCAAACAAGCAAGAGCTAAAATTGTGAAGGACATTAAGGGAAATGACATTCAAGCAGATGTTAAATTCCAACAAGTCTCGCAGTATAAGACATTGATGACTGCATTTAGAGCAATAACATGCAGAGTTGCTGAAACTGAAAAAACTTATGATTTTTCAATTGCACAACTCGCTACATTATGTGCAAATGTTGAAAGCAAGTTAAGCGCTCATTTTGCTATTAAAAATGAAGTAAGTAATGATGATGAAGCTCAAAGCTTTGAAGTGGATTGCGAAGATGAGAATCATGTTGTGCAACCAAAAAAATTGAAGAAAAATAAGGCAACTAGTAACAGCAAAATGAGGGTAAAAGATGGATTCGAATTGGCATTGGTAGCGAATTCCAAAAAAAAACCATACTAACAGCTTGGCTTCTTCAAAATCTATTGCAAGTCCAACAGTTAAACTTTCTCCATTATCTGTTGGAGGAGATATCTATGTTCATCAACATGTTCCTCCTCTTCAACCTCTTCCTCCTCTTCATCCTCTTCCTCCATCTTTTGCCATGGGTGGTAATTCAATTCCTCCCACATTGATGTATCCCACATGTCATGTGAGTGTTAGTTTAACATTGTATTTTTTCTTTGTGGGTATAATATGTCACTCAAACCATGATTGCAAAGCCTAATATATGACATTGTTGTAGGCAAATAATTTGCGTGAGATGTATATAATGCCAAATTATGTGCCAAATTCAATGCCTCAGAGCTATTATGCTCAACCAACATTCTAGTCACTACTTCAGGATTCATGTGGGTATGACATTGGATTTCGATATTCTGAAGAATCAAATAGTCTAATGTGTAGTTAGGTTATTCTTTTAACTTTGACAATTGTTATTACATTTTATGTACATTGAGTTTGCCCCTTTGTTGTGAACTCATATATATATATATATATATTTTTGGGAAAACCATTTTCAAAAAAAATTCAAAGGTTTGACCATTGTAACAAAATAAATAATGAATTTTTTAACTTTATCAATTTAAATTCTAAATTTTTAATTTATTTTCAATATAAATCATTTGTCTATTTTTATTAAGTAAAATTGATGAAAATTTTAAAATTTTAATCATTAAATTCAATAAAAATTTATATTTTATAAATTTTACGTATATCTATATTAAGTTTAATAACTAATATTTTTTTATCAATTTTACTTAACAAAAATAAGTGAATGATTTAAATTGAAAATAAATAAAAAGATTCACAGATAAAAGTACTAATGCAACAATTTAAGTTTAATAACTAATATACATTTTTTGTCAATTTTATTTAACAAAAATAAGTGAATGATTTAAATTGAAAACAAATAAAAAAATAGAATTTAAGTTGACAAATTAAAAGTTCACGACTTTTTTTTTTTTTTTTTTTTTTAAAAAACAAAAACCTTTTTTTTTTTTTTTTTTTTTTGGGTAATTGGCACTAAATTATAATATGACAAGACTTCATAATTGGCTTTTTATTTTTTTTTTGGAAAGATCTTTCATAAGGATGTATAATTGGGTACAATTAGGTCTCATTTAGAATTTATTCAAAAAGTCCAAAATTTATTTGTCATAAAAAATAAATATCATATTAATTCTTTTTACTCAAAAGAAATTAGTCATTGAAAATTTTCATATATATATATACATTAACATTTTTATTTAAAAAATTAATATAAAGAAAAATCACAAAACAAATCCATTTTAAATAGGTAGAACCAATGTGTAGCCAATCCTTTGGCCGCCAAGTTTTTCTTAATTGGAGAGTTCTGGTTTCACTCTTAGGAGTGAAATAGGATGCTCATAAGGAGACGGTGATAGTTCAACTTGTTAAAAATACTAATCCAAAAACTAATTATTAACTTTCGTCAATAAACAAATAAATCAATTCTAAAGGCAACCTTTAGATTTGTATATTTACAATGAGGTTGTCTTAAAATAAAATAAAAAATAAAATAAAAAGGCAAACTTCATTTTACCTTTTATGGTTTGAGTCATGTGCAATTTACTCTCTTGACGTTTAGAAATTACCTCATAATCCTTATATGGTTTTGTGAATTGAAATGCACTGTTTAATGCGCTTAAACATTCTACCAAACTTAGCAACAAGTATAAAACACATGACAAATAAAAGGGAGTTATATACTTATTTTTAAATTTCAAAAATCGCACATGAAATAAAAAGCAGGAGTTAAAGTGCACTTTTCTTTCTAAACAACTGACAAAAATATAAAAATATTTTAGTTTTTTTTATAAAATTGTTAACAATCATAACGGTGCATTTCAATTCACAAATCATAAGAAGATTATATGATTATTTTCAAACGTTAAGGGATAAATCACACGACTCAAATTTCAAACGTTAAGGGATAAATCACACATGACTCAAATCACAAGAATAAAGTGAAGGTTATTAAAATAAAAAAAAATAAAAATAAGGGAGGGTGGGGAGTGGATCGCACGAGTGAAAAGGCCGTGAAAGTGAGCGAGGTTGATGCATCTTTTCAGTTGGTTGCTGGTCGTTATTTGTCATGTTTTGCTTGTTGATTTACAACTCAGCTTGGATTCATATATTTCCCGGGCCGAAAAACGGAAATGGAGCACAATATCACTGTTATGTGATCAATAGTGTCTGTTTGGAGATTTATTTCGATAATTTACAATTTTCATTTTCATAATATATCAATTAGAATATATATATATATATATATATATAATTAAGTTAATAAAAATTAAAAAC